TGCCGAGAGCGTCTATCCGCTGACACCGCAACCAAAGCACAAAGTGCCGCTGCAGAGGCGCGGCCAAGCATGCTGAAGCTGGCTGACTCAGAGCTCGTCTGCAGTGAGGGGCGTGCGTCTGCCTGCATCACCACTTGCCTGTCACTCCGCACGAAGCCTTGAGGTCTGGCCCCTGACTGTGGGCCCAAGAACGTCGGTTGAAGGAGCCATCCTGCTACTATTGTTGCTGCGCAGGCCAGGCAAAGCCTGGGCCACGCTTTTCTCATTGCGCTAAGGGGCTATGTGCAGTCCCTTCGTGCTCGTCTGCACGCAGCCGGAGCAGCAGGCGAAACAACTCATGCACAAACAAGTTGACGCAAGGTCATGATTGGGTTGGTGAAGACACGACTTCCTCCAAGCAATCCCCTGTGCACGGACAAGCAGGCAAAGAGACAAAGCAAAAACCACTTTTTGGCTTCACGACCAAGGCGTGCATGCTCTCTGGCACTACTGCCAAACATGCCAAGCTCAGACTTTGACCTTTTTGCCGAACTCCCAAGGGTTGTTGAGCATGGTGCTGCCCGTCTTGCCCCACAGCCCTGGAGGTCGGCGGCGACCGCGCAGGCGGAGACCAGCTCCCTTCTTCATGTTGAGGATGTTTTCGGGCGTAGGTCGGATGCGCCCGCCATTGTAGATCTTCGGGATTGGGATGGTGGTGCCCTCGAACCAGCGGATGTGCCGCTGCCTTACACCCTCAGGCCCCAAGAAATTGTAGAGCAAGAAATCCTCGCAAACGTTGATGCCAATCTCGTTTGAGTCACAAACGTCGTTGTACCTGCCAATCAGCTCCTGGCGGTCCCATTCCAAATGGCCGGGAACGTCGACCTCGCCCTCTTCGTCCTGATGCTTGTTGGCGAGACCGATGGACCTCTTCTTCGGGCGAACGCGGATCTCGTCGCCCAGCATCAGGAGAGTCGATGGCACATTCGTCGTCACCCAGTCTGGTGGCTGCCAATCGCTGTCCTTCGGGGCGTGGCGGATCTGGATGTGGTTCTCTCGGACCATCCAGCGGGCAGCTGCCATGGTTGGTGCCAGACCCACTCGCCAGAGGAAGTTGTCGATACGGCTCTCCAGGATTTGCATAAGACAGTCGATTGGGTGCTTTCGGCCCTCCTTGAAGGCACGCAGGACATACTTGGTCAACTGCGCGATGTTGATGTTGTAGTGGCAGGCGACGCGCGACCTCTCTATCCAGTAGCGACCCTTCATGGACAACTTCTTCGTGGGGCGCTTTCGCCACGGCTGCTTGAGTCTCTTTCGCAGAAGAGGCTTGCGCGACCAGGCGGGCATCTCTCCGAATGGCTCAAAGCGGCGCATGGTCTTTTGTCTGCTGCGTGCCCGAGTTGGGAACATTCGAACGACGACCTTCTCAGCACGCTGCCGAGAGCGTCTATCCGCTGACACAGCAACCAAAGCACAAAGTGCCGCTGCAGAGGCGCGGCCAAGCATGCTGAAGCTGGCTGACTCAGAGCTCGTCTGCATTGAGGGGCGTGCGTCTGCCTGCATCACCACTTGCCTGTCACTCCGCACGAAGCCTTGAGACTGCGTGAGTTCTTGACGCTGAGTTGTGGGTGATACGAAAGCCCTTGGAAAAATGCAAGCCACATAGCATGCGGCTGCAAGCGCAGCAATCCTCATAGTTTCGCGCGACATGGCGGCGGGTCCCTCTCTTACTTTTTGACCCTGCCCGCCTGCGGATGTTGTAAGCAACCTCAAACTTAAAGTATCTCTTGCTGCGACTTCTGGAGCATGTGAAACTTAAGGGGACCAAGCCTCAATAGTGTCTCGACACCTGCTGTGCCAGTGATTGATTACGGGCAAGCTCCTCGAAGGTTGTGAAGGTGATGCAGGTGCTCGGGGCGTGGAAAGCCGCACGAGCACCTCCGGATGCGCAGAAACGTGGAAGACCTGGCTCGCCTTCTGCTTCCCGGCGTTTGCCGGAGCCGGCCTGCTCCCCGGAACAAGGCGCGCACGCCTCCTTCACCTGTGCTTTGCAGGAGCACAGCTTTCTTCCAAAGTCTCAGATTTCGACGATGAGCGCTCGACGCCACAAGCGCAGCCTCAGAGCTTCACGGCAGTCTTTATGAACTGTCCGGAGCCGGCAATGCTCGAGCCGCCAGCATAGCGTCTCGTAGCCCATGCAAATGTCCTTCTGGTATCTCCACGCCTTCACTCATCTGACCCCACCGACCTTCCCTCACCTTGCCTCCCCCGTACACCGGCAGATGACCCCCAGCCCACCAAGCCTGGTGGGAGTCGCAGCTGCGTCTGGAGCCGGAGCTTTGCCAGGTCCAGAGGGCAGGTTACAACCTGTGACTCGCCAACGGGGAATAAACCCTGCTGAGATCTGTAAGAGCCTCCGAGGCCCCAGCAGAGGCGGCTGTGCCGGCAGAGGCCGAAGCCAGCAAGGTCAGAGCTGGAGGCAGCGATTTCTCAGCTCCGAGCAGGGCAGCAAGGCGATTGTAGTGCTGGTAGCAGTGGCTCTTCGGCTCTTCTTTTGCCGGAACCCACACGGAAACAGCTGAGCCTCTGGCTGGGTCGGGCTTCCCCGCGCATGCTGCAACAGCTTTCCTTGCCTTGCAAAGCGGTAAGACGTGTCAACAAAACCGAATGCAAAGCACACCCCGAACATCTTCCGGCGACTGCCGGAATCGACCCGGAAGAGACTTTCTCCTCTTCCAGCTCTCCCTCGTGAACTCGTGCATCTCTCTGTATGCCAAGGTCAACCCATGATTTTGATAGGATCTCATGCCATGAGCAGAGAAGCGCGCCTGCTCGTAGAAGGCAAAGTACAAGGCCGAGAAGGGGCCAAAGGAAGCGAGTGTAGCGTAGTACCCCTGGCGTATCAAGCCAATTCGATGGGGCTCCCAGTCAAGAGTGCCACAAGTACATAGCTTGCTCTCTGCACCTTGTACAAACCAAAGAGCCCTTCCGTACGGGAGATCACACGGAGGGCATCCAAGCTCCTCTCGCCGCTCACACCACGCTGGACTTCGTCCTACTGCAGCGACGCGCAAATGCCGGTCCCAGCATAGCTCGGTGGTGTGGAGCCTCGGCTTCCTGAAGCGACGCACCGGCACGAGATCGCAGCTCACACCCTTGGCTCCCTGCCGGAGCTTGCGGGTAGGCCTTGCGCTCGCATCGACCACGACGCGACAGGTTGCAAGGATTGCAAGGATCTCAAACGCCCAGGCTGTGGCCGAGCTTCTGCACCTGCCCACGCTCGCAAAAGCACACAGGCCGCAGGCCTGAAATCAAAAGTCCGGCCTGGAGACGCTCTTTGATGACATCAACGGGGACGAAGACTATGCATGCAGCTGCCTGGGCCACTGCTGCATGCGTTTACTTCCTGCTACCTGCTGGTCTCCCCAGCATCAGGATCCAGAGTCCTTTTTTTTTGGTGCGGACTGCCCTGACTGCTGCGTGAGAACGGCTGCAAGTTTCTGCGCGCTCAAGCTCACGCTCTACTCGTCGATGGTGAAGCCTTGCATTCATCAGAGCAACGGCCAGAGTATCCCCTGCTTCGCGCCATGCCCTTTAGCATGAACCACGGCCTAGGTCGAATGTGAGCTAAGTAAGTCGTACGAGCTTTAGCCTGGCGGCCTGTTGATGGCAATGGCATTGCCGGGACGGTGCCGGAGGTCTCGGCCAGGTCGTACCACACCTCACCTCACGAATCCCGGGGGCCCGGGGGGTCTGAGTGGAACACGCTCTGTGGCTACAGTCTCAACCACGCGACGGATGGCATCACGCACGATCTCTCCGAAGTGCTCGTGGACGGCTGATATGCGCTCATCAACTGTACACGCCTTCGCTGGTGACTCTTCAATTCAGGAGCGCTAACTGCAGTGGCTGCAGGCAGCAGGCATTACATAGTGACATAGTATGCAATCGGAGGCACATGGCTGATCAGTCCTTCCACCATAGCAGACAAGTCCTTCCCACCAGTGGATAAAGAATAGAACCAGGAGCTGCTTTAAACACGTGTATGCAATAAGACCCTGCAAGCACTATGGATGCCATGTCGGGCTTGGACGAAACATCTGGTCACCTCAAAAGAACCTGGTTCCCATGATCCCGTCGTGTCCTCGGGAGAGTCGGTCGCATCTGGGCTGGAGAGCACCGGCCTCACAGTTTCGTCGAACTTTGCGGAGACGAGCCAGGATAGCAAGAAGTATTGGCACAAGCACCAATGTACTGTGCTTGACGAGAGAGAGAGCAATGCTCCGAAGTCCCAAAGCTCACGCACGCACCCTGTTCCCTCTTGCCAGCCCTGTGAAATAGAGAACATGCGCCCGACTAAACTCCAGGAACAGATCGTATCTGTGGATGGGAAAGACAACTGCTTAGAAGCGGCTCAACACATTCCGCGCCACTGCGAACATCCTGCTTGTGTATGCTTGTATAATGTATTTCTACAACTAAGTTGGTGCGTTACATGCCTTGGTACAGCATAAGTATACTCTTGCAGTACTTCACGGGTGCCAGCGATGCTGGGCTCAAATTGCATGCTCGAGTCGCATGTATACAATGTAGAAATGGTGCGGTACAGGCCTATAAATCATGTACGAGTAGAATCATGCAGAGACAGCGGAATCTACGATCATGTTTCGCATTCAGCCGACATGCACCCAGCGTGAAGGGATGCACATAAGTTATCTCATCCGATCTGTAGCAGGCTTGGGCAACAGGCCCACGAAGCAGGCAAGTTACCAATGCAGAGCTGGAATCCATTGCGACACATGCAAAGCCGCAAAGCAGCACATGCTGCTGTATGCTGAGAAGCTCCTTGCTTGCCAGGACACAGGGCTGCTTGAAGGTTGCATGCGTCCGCACGCTCCAGATCCGTGACATCTTGATCATTAATCTTGCGAAGGTGGGGCAGCCATCGGATAATACCCACCTCATGTACGCATGGTAGTCTCCTTTCTGCAAGCACGTAACCGCAAAGTGCAGGATCTGTGCGTGCGACACGCAAGGTGGCGCGACCGGAGCACACGGGATTCTCCTCGAAAAAACATCGGCAACATTCCATAACGAAGCAAACGACGCCGCTGTCATCAGGACGAAACTTGGCACGGGCATCACGGCTGCGAGTGAGATCCTACGAAGCACGGATGTTGTCAGGTCCTTGATGACAATAGATGTCAAGCGAGGCATCCGGCGAAATGGCTCCAGTGCCCGTGGATCTAGGATCCTTGCATCACACACCCATGTAGCCCAGTGCAAGTGATGTCGAAGACTATCACGAAATGAGAGTGAAGCAGGCTCATTCATTATAGCATGGCTCATGGCAGGTGCGTGTGAAACCATATCCACATAGCATTCAACAGTGAGCGGCTCTCCAAGCATCCCCTTAAGACCATGCATCAATTGCATTGAAGCAGCTGGTTTTGGACGAAGGTGATGCTGTTCAAGACTTTGAACTTCAACAGGCGAGCAATTTCGCCAGCAAGCATCTCAATCAAGATATAATGGAAGTGAATGCTGGTCACAACGCTTTGGTATTCCTAAGTGGAAGCAGGCCAGAAAGGGCGCTGTTTGGTTTGAAGTTCACTGCGAATGCAAGGTATCGAGACCGACCTCTGACATGCCAACATTGCATATCATTGCATCTCAGAAACTATCTTATCCAGCGCGTCCAGACCACGGCCAAAAATGGAGAGCTCGGCGGCTTGCTCTCTTCGCACATATCCGTGTCGCGTCATTGCAACCTTGCCCTGCAGCACCAATTCCCACTGCAGGCGGATGGCTTGGAGCACCTCCTCGCTCGTCATGGAACCGGTCTTCTGTTCCTCTGGCAAGCGAAAGTATCTGGGCATCCACCAAACCGCCCCGAACCCTGCTCCTTCGGCATCGGCATGGGCTGAGACGACACTGGAAGGGCAGGGCGCTGCAGCAGATTCGTGCCTGCATTCAGTGCGCGCGACTGGGCGTAACAAAGCAATGTTACATCAACCTTCCCACTCCCAGGCTGATACCACTTGCATACCTGGTGAAAGATGTCAACAAGGGATGAACAGGGTCCGAACCGCGCTGCTTCTCGTTTCATGCTCCATGGAGACACAACGGCAGGCTGAACTGTACAGCACCAGCTACTTTCAATGAAGTTTGCAATGTGGCAGGTTACCAGACTTACTGTCAGACCGCGCGTACCACCCGCGCCGACGTCAGTCGATGGTGTCAACCGGAGTTGGCAATGTACCCCCTATGACTCCGAGCACTGCGAGCCTGAGCGAATGGAAGAAATTGCCAGGCTCTCTGTGAGCCCAGGTTGGGCTGGCGATGGCCGGGCCTCAGGGAGACGCTCATCGAATACAGCTGAGCCTAGTCTGGCATGGCACCGCCATGGTTCTGCGTGCTGCCGTCCAGGGCTCTGTGGCTGTAGTCGGCCGCTTGGGCAGACCGTGCAGCGCACGAGCCGGCAAGCCATCACGCCTCAGAGTCGTCCCCTTTAACTCCGCTGCTGAGGCACCTGGAACTCGCCAGCACTTGAATCTAGCCAAGACGCCCCCTGGCAGACCCTTTTGGCCTCGGCGGTGGCGACGACTCCGCCAAAGGCACATCAGCAGCGTTGGACGTGCTTGTGTGCTCACCACGAGTATCCACGGCCTGACATGTTCAACACACAGAGACGACCTTAACCCGAGTTCGATGTGCTGATGGAGTATACACCGCGAGTCCTCTTCTGTCGCAGCAGCGACATTCAAAGCCGCAGATGGCGAAGGTGAAATAACAAAACCTGCTTCGACATGACATGGCCCAGTGATGATGCACCGCACTCTTAGGTTCCGTCTTGTTGCTTTCTATGGGTCGTATCTCTCCCGGAGTCCCAGTTACTCGCAATCCGTTCGGCCCGGCTTTTTGCACGCCTCATCACGTGTGGTCATTTGCAGTGTGTCGCGTTTTTGGCCATACCTGAGATGGCATCTTGTTTTCCGATGGCTGTGGAATTGGTCTCCACGCGCATCCAAGACAGAGCCGGGCACGCCACAGATGACTTGCCTTTGCACGGACTTAGCGACTTCTGTACCACTGCGCCTGCGCGATACATACAGCTTGGTAGTGAAAAGACGGCCTGCCCAAAGCACTGCATTGAATGAGGGTCACTGAACATGTCGGCCGCATTGGCCCAAAACGGATGACACGCTCTTCGTCGTACTCTCACGGTATCGCTTGATACGCATGTCTGGTTGGAGGCATCAGGGGGTGCTTAACTCACTTTCGTCGTCGCTTCTTGCTTCTAGATCTTCTCCTCTGGGCCTTAATGAACCGTCTTGGGTCAGCTCCGGCCATTTGCTGCGTGGCACGGCCAAGCGCTTGTTTCGGTATACAGTTCCCCTGACCTGATTGACAGCAATTAGTCAAAGAGAGACTTGGCTTCAGCAAATACATGCCCTCTGTCCCCTTCTCGGGTCCCCGTTGCAGCCATTGCAATTGCTGTTGCTTGCTATTGCCCAGCCCATGTCTGCTACAAGCTAACTATGACAATACAACACGACCGACTGGAGCAGCCTGGTCAAACCCATTCCCAAATCAAAGGGAGTGTTTGCGCAGGGCAACTACTCTGTTCACCACCCGAAGATCCTCCGTTCTCTGCGATCGCGAAATGGGCGATTTTCCAGCTCTTCGATATCGAGAATGCGGTTCTTCTCCCACCCTTTGCTTCCCAATCCTCCTCCGATTAGTCGCCTGTGCTCTGCCTCCGCGACTGCAGAATCGCAGCAAAAGGTCCAATTGGCTCCAAGCGGCTCCGGATGCAAACCGGAGGCTCAGTAGGCTCGGAGTCCTCTCCCGACTGCTCGGGCTGATCGGGGACACCTGCAAAGTTCCAGGATGTGCCAGGAAGGCAGAAACTCGCCACTCGTGCCGAGGGGCTCGAGCTGGAAGCCTGGATCTCTGCATCGCTTCGCTGCGAAGGGGCTTCCAAAGCCTCCATGAACTCGGGCTTTGCTCGAATGCCTCAAGCGAGGCATCGCGGCTATGAGTCCATGAGACTACTCAAAAACCGATGCTGTCAGGCGACATCTCCGAGCCTCCACCTTTACATTGTCCTCAAGGGCACTCGTGTTGAATTCGCTCATGCTGAACCGAACACACGACTTCCTCTGATCTAAGGTGCAGTCCAACGTTTCCAGATTTGGGCAGAGAGTCACAATGTGGACATGATAGGCCTTCAGTCTTGTCAAGCTCGAACGCATTTGGGGCTGTCCAAAGCACACGCTGAAACAAACACTGGCCTTGGTTTTGTCAGAAATTGGATTTCCGTCCAAGGTAAGCTCTCGAAGGTTGGTGGCTGCAGATAAGAATCGTAAATCCTGGCACATTTAAACTGCGCAGCGTCGGTCGCAGGTCCCAAAGGTGAACGCTCCATTGACGCATCACTGATTGAGAGCTTCGGAGCCGTGTGTTGGCTACTGAGGTTCCCGGTTTATATGTAGCAATCGCAGGGATGTTGCGGAATGGTGAGTCTGAAGAGGCCGATCCTCATGCAAGACGATATTGTTGTGCGACGCAAAGAGCCTCTGCAGCTGTGGTACCTGATGGCCACCAACGCGAAGTGCAGCTCTAAAGCAGCTACCCACCAGGCTGAAAAACATGTTTCTTCTGTGACAGACGCCTGATCCACGCCGGCAGTCGTCGAGATGGAATTGCGTCTAATGTTCCTGGCCACATTCGAAACATCTTCCCTGCATGGCACACCATAACACGGATCACAACACGAGTCTGCTGGCACGACTGCTCAATTATGCTCAATTCGGCCACGGCGCAATTCAGTGAGCGAGACCAGTCCGTCCAGATTGAAAATGTTAGGGAGAAAATTGCCAGCAAGATTCAGAACGCCTTGTCTTGTCGGCACTCGGCACACTCTACCATGTTTGATTCTCAGAAGTCATGCTCTAACAGAGACGTGCCTTCCAAGGCCTACGTACATTTAGGTGATGCCGGTTCGGGCGGTTGGCTCTAAGACTAGCTCCTTGAAATAAACGCAGTCATGGGCACGAAGATGTGTCAAATGCGACACGTTCTGAATTTCCTTGATCCTGTTGCTGTGCAGGTCCAAAACATCCAACTTCTCAAGAGTCTTCAAGTTCTCGATTCGCTGGATTTGGTTCTTGCCAAGCATGAGAACCTCAGCCAAAAGCTAACGCCCACGCAAAGCTTGAAAATGAGCGGCAGGGCTAGCAACCTGCCGTAACTTCGAGCAAAGGTGCACGCAGATTTTTGCACTTCTCCTTAGCTCATCCCCTAAGGCCCTAAGGTATCAAGACTCGCTTTGCGCTGCGAACCTGTGGCTCCCAGCTACTGGCAGTCCAGACGCTAAGTTCTCCATGACTTGGATCTTGTTGTCGTACAAGTCTAAGAAAGTAAGATTGGGAAGGTTATCGAGATGTTCGATGCCTCAGCTTTTCACCACAGGTCCCAGACTTTCTTGCAGGTCTGGGGCCATAGGATACATGCTTTAGATAAATGCAGACATGCCAGCGCGATATGGCATTGTTCTGATAATTCCTGAGTTGGTACAAAACTCCGAAGCTCACTTAAAACTCGCACACTACCTGCACCTTCTGCGAAGAAAAGCCATGACAAGGTAGCAAATTCAAGCCAAGGCTCAGCAAGCGTAGCCGTGCCTCCTCCTCCAAGACCGGGCAGCGGCCCAACCTAAAGAGATTCTCAGTCAGAAAAGGGCCCCCAATGAATACAAGGCCAACAAAACGTGCACTGAGGTCGGGTAACTGCCGTCTGTCCAGATGGAGGTGTTCCGGTGAGCGGTTGCGCGCTTTGGCTGACCGCCGCGCGAGAAGCAGCTTTGGCATCCGCGGGCGTGCAACGATGACCAGGTCCTGAACAAGCGCACATCCGCGCAGCCCAAGTCTGCCCCGAGACAGGTATCAGAAGTGCAATATGGCGAAGACACCCCATGACGTTCCGCATGTGGCATGCCGAAGTTCTTGCCCAAAGTTCTTGATAGTCCGAGTATGTTCGATTCATGTGCTGCCGAGCATCAGATGTGTATTCCACGTTCTGCGCCCGGCACACCCGACACAAACTCTGGAAGCCCTCATCCTTGGAGTCGTCCACTGTGCTATCCGATACATCCGCTGCTTTGGCGTCTGCCTCCAGAATGGTCACATGAGTGCACCGACAATGCACCCAACCAACTTCGACAGTTGCGAAAGCAGTGTCGACGTCTCTTGCCTCTCTGGCACTGGGTGCCGGCATAGAAAGGACTCCCAGGAACGCGTCTGCCTCCAAGCAGCTGCACCCTCTTTGGCACTTCAAAAAAGCAAGAACGCCAAGCTCTCATCGCCTGCAGGACCGGAGATCCTGCTGCGCGCCGGGAATTCCCCAAGCGCCCATGGAGACGACGGCACGCGGTGAGACCGGCAGATCTGTCGTCTCTCGTTGCAAGGGGCCTTGGCTTCTTCAGTTCGGGTCAGGGCTATAATATAGCATATATGAGCATCGGCATTGCCATGGTTCTGATCGAGCTATGGTTGATGCTGTGATGATGACACTACTTTCGTGTTCAGTCTGCAGGGTAAATATGCACCGCATACAGGCGGCTGCGTGTCATGCGGTGCGAAACAGTGTTCCGGCTGTGAGCCAATAGTGAAGCACCGCATCCGGCGGCATCTGACTGCGTGGTTCTGCCCCCACTAAGTATTTAGGTTATTCTGAGTTTGTGAATATTGCTACTCCAGCTTCCGGAAGCTCTAGCTCCTCGCCTCTGCTCCAATCCCGGCCGCCAGGTGGCGTGCAAAGGCCAGCTCCGAGCCCTCGGATCATAAGGGAGGGAGTCAGATGTACATCCATAGAGTCAAAAACTGTAAATATGGTCGAAGAGTCGAAATTCACAACATACTCGCTATCAAGCTGCAGCTCCAGGTTTAGTTTACACTGTCATCAACACGCGCACGGACTCACATGGCATGAACTCCCCCTTGGGTATGCTAGTCTATGTCTATAGGTACGGGTGGCTGATCTATCATTCGTTTATTCATATTATAGAAAAGTTCTTGTACACGTGTGTTCATAGCAATGTCATTCTACCCCGTGTTGTAGCTATCGCTCTTCATGGTACCGGTCACCGATCTGACTAGCACATTGCATGTACTCAATAACAAGTACATAATTGCATGATACATCCATGCGTACAGACAAAACAAAACTCAAACGTTTGACTGGACGTGATGCCCAGCATACCTGAGCATGCATGTTAACAACACTTTTGGTCTGTCTGCATGTGTTGACATGCGCACATGAACCACACATGAACACTTTTATGCCAGAGCACAGCGCAAAAGAGGGGTAATCACAGTCGCAGCAAAACACACATGCATGCAGGAGTTGGGTTCAGGGTTGGGCATGGTCCTTAGTGCCTCTCTCCTGTCGATGATCTGATGAATCCGTGGGACAGATAGCTTGAGCTGCACAGACAGGTGTATGTATGTGTGTGAGAGGGGGGAGGACCTGTTTGCGTGTCACACAGTCACTTCGCACAATCTGTGGTACCAAACACCAACTCGATGTTATAGAGAGTGTTTGTGGCACTCGCACTCGACAGCCTGTGGGGCACTGAAAGAGACTGCCACACGTCGCGGAAATGTGTATATGAGTACATACATCCAAAGCGCACGCTTGTCCTTTACTACCTACCGACACACATGCAAACATGCACTCGTACCAGGCATACAGGCATACAGGCATACGTGGATAAATGGATTATACATCGACATACGCAGACGTACACATCCACACATAAACAGACACATACAGACACTGTTTCCAGATGTGTGCGTGCGCGTGCCGTATGAGCCGAGAGTAAGATGCCACAGGCGGTATGAATGTTGCAGAACACCGTGCAAAGACAGCGGGGATGAACACATCTGTGACACCATGCATGTCTGAGACATTTTTTTGGCACTCGCACTCGACATACCAGGCGAGGGTTGGGGAGGGCCTTACACCGCACCCCAACATTCCCCCACTCCCTGTAAGCCAATCGACTAGGTCAAGCTCCACAGTACGAGTTATCCAGGAGACCATGACTTAGGCGGTCAGACTGCGCCTTCCTCTTATTG